TATATACTATATATAGTATACTATATATATATATAATATATAGTACTATATTANGTTTTTCCCACAAGGAAAATTTTTGACCCAAAGTTTTTCACAAAACTGATTCCTCGTTCATTCTCAGTTGCAGTTTCGCCCTGAGGATGAACCGGATTTAATTAAGCAACTGATGAACCTCAAACCTGAGCAATTGAATACTTTGTCACCGGAGCTGCAGATGCAAGTCATTCAGCTTCAACAAATGTTACAATCTTAGTATGTACTTTTTGCTGACCTTTCTCTGAATGTCTATCGTGAATAAAGCATCAAGAAGGTTGCAGCATTATGGTTCTTCTTCTGTATCATTAGAATCTTGAAAGATAAAAAATCTTCCTGTTTTAGTGGAAGAGTGAGAGAATCACATATGGAAATCATTGTTTATAGATTAGTATGACATTTATTTCTTGAATCCGATATTGTTTTTGTAGAGGGCTTAAGAAAAGATTGATTATTTTTCGTGTATCATCAAATTTGGATGTCAATTACTCAAGTCTCCCTCTGCTCATTTTGCAACTCGAGCATTTCTATTTTGCACATTCATGGTATTGGGTTTGTATTTTGTGGATGCATTGGAAATATTTGGACTTTTTAGGCGACAATGCTCCCAAACTACTTTCATGTGAAATTTGTGAATAAATTGTCAGATGTTGAACAGCTGATACCGCCATTTGAGAAAGTGCTCAGTTACTTTTGCCACTCGAGGTGGGGGTTTCAGTGCAGGGGTCAAAGACGGGTGGTTCTACATGGCTACTAAGTGAAATATGATCGTTTTAATGGAGAATAACACTTTAGGGCCACCAGCAACCAGTAGAAAACAACTGGTGGAAGATGGGATGATAAGCGAGGACCCAATTCAGGTAAGGGTCACAGCCCCCATACCGGATCGAGTGGATTGGGCCTGGGGCCTTCTAGGACATGATCAGTTGGTCGGGTCCCTTGACCCTACTGAGTCAGATCTGGATTGGAGCCTTCCCAGCCCATATACAAGCCTAGTTGGATGGACCTTGCGATTGCTCCAAGCCTCAAAGTCACAATATTATATCTGCATATTTAAAGTAGGAGTTAGGCTCGTGCAAGACACGTGGGTCGTGGGTAGAGAGTCGAGAGTACGTTGGATAGGTTCGGGTGTATAAATTTTTTTAGCTACGCATATATTATACTCCGGTTGGAGCATAGTGTGCATTTGTTCCCTCGCGCAAAACACATCAGAGAATTTATCAGGGTATTTTTGTTTCACGTGAAAGAATTCTCATGTGGTTAGATATAGGAATATTTTCACACCAATTGATTTAGTGCATCTTTTCGTACTAATTGACAGTAAATTGGTGTGAGGTTAAAATCATCTTTGGTTCACCTTCTCATCAACAATAAAAATAATTTTGAGTTTCTAAACAATCAAGGGCAATTCCGATCTTTTCTTCTTTTTTTTGACCTCTTAATATTTTTTTTTCTTTTAACCAATATTTCATATAAAGAGGCATCTTGGCCACTGGGCATGTAGCATTTATATGATCCTGTAACAAAATTTTCTGAAAGAAATATTATTAGGGAAAGTTTTATGTATCCCATAGGCATATAAAATATAATTACAAGTAACCCCACTTCTCAGCCACATGATCTGAATGATGGCTGGGATCACTCATGTCACGAGGTATGTCAAAATGCTGTTTGATTTTTAATATTTTTACTACAACATATTTTTTAATAAAATTTGGAATGCACCCTCATCTTGTTAGGGCGCCCCTATCAAATGTAAAAAAAATATATAGAAAGTTTAGAAGCCCTCGTTATGGAGAGCTTAATGTATGCATTGATTAGAATCCCCCTTTGGCTGATCGTCTCTCTTGTCATCCTCCATCTGTCCATCTCATCACCAAAGCTGCCTTTTTCTTTTTCCTGAACATTAACTATAATTTCAATGAGAATTCAAAAAGATCATTGTACTTGATTGGTGCACAAAATTACAAAACAAATTTGGGGTCTCAGATTTTTCCTGCATTTCACTAGCAAAGTTACTTCGACTTCTGCCTAGGCTGCTACCTATAGGGTGGTAAACTAGTAATATTGACGCCCTGCCTTCGCAAGGACATGAGCCGCATGGCATGATTCTTGCTCTATTGGTCTTCTCAAGGACATCAGCCTCATCATTTCTTTCACGAATCATGAGTTACTCGCCTCAGCTCAGGATTTTGTGAAGCCCAAGTTGGGGACCCCAGTGGGATGTCCAATTCGGAAATATTAAAAAAACAATTAAAAAATCAAAAGAAAAAAATAAATAATTGTAACATGTTTATTTATGATTTTGGACATGAATACTTATTTTTACCCTTTGCTATTTTTAAAAGGTTTCAAAATACCCTTGTCACAAACTCATTTTTCAAAAATCTATTCTTTTTGCTACTATTAACCACAATTATTTGTATTTTGTTAAATTTTACTTTCAATCTATTTTTCCAAATTTTTGGGATTTTTTTAAATAATTTTCAGGTGCTACAGTATTCACCCCTACTCGAGCCGAGTTGTTCCGACTCGGGCGAGTACTTGGCTGTGGGCATGGGCGAAGTAGTCAGCCAAAGTCGACTTTTCCAACACTGTCTTAGAAAACCACTTCTACGTTATTTAGGTCAAGTTTGAGAATTGGAACTTAACTTTGGTCGCAATGCATCCCAAATAGCAACCCACGTTTATGGTTCTAACTTTGGTTAAGAATCTATCGACTTTTTATATACAGTGCGAGATGAGTTCCCTCTTTATTTTGTCGACATGTGTCTTTTTTTTTTTCCATATGTATACTATTGATTTTTAGTTTCTTTTCCATTTTATTTTTCTAATTCTTGGAATTGCCCAACTCTTTATATTAATAGCTATATATTAATCTATCTCAACATAATCACTCACATCTTTAATATGCCTCAAATTTAAAACTCCCATAATAATTTTTGTTTTAAAGCTTTATATTTCTCTCTCTATCTTTGCATGTGTTCTCTCTCCACCCACGTTCTCTCTCACTCTTCTCTTTATCTCTCTTATATTAATTGTTTAATATATTTTTATAATAATTATTTATTATTTTTTATATTTAAAAACACACCTATTAATTATCTCATCTTCATCTCTTTTATATTCAATAAACATATGTGCTCTCCTCCCCACATACGCACACTCTGTCTCTGTCTCTTTGTCTTTCTCTCTCTCTCTCTCATTCTCTCTCTAAATATTCTTTTCTTTCATAATTAAAATAAGTGTAATCATTCAAGATGTTAATTATTGTTGGGAAAAGTTTATACAAAACCGAGGCTCTAAACAATCAAATTAGAGCCTACCTCAAAAATTTAACTAGAAGGTGTTATTTTGATACCCAAATATCCTCAAATTGATCATCTCAACATCAAGATACATGGACACGAGAAAAAAAATGGATTTCAAGTTTTGGAAATAGTGTATTTTGTAACGCATTTTTTTTACAGTCAATTTTCAAGTTCTTAAATTTTCATAGATATGTCGATCTACACTATTTTTTGAAGCTACAAATTTTATAAATAAAGATGAAAATATATTATTTCTCGAAACTATTTGAAGGTAGGCTCTAATTTGATTGTTTATAGCCTAGGCTCTATACAAACCGCACCCATTATAGTTTGGTTAGTAGTAAAAATGATCATTATGAAGGGCGATTCAAATTTTAACTTGAAATTATTAATACCTTAATTTTCCCTCACGCCTTCTAGAAGATAAACCCTTCATCTCTAAGGGCCTCTGGTTCATCAAAATCTAAGTCATCATTCTGATTACGCTCAAAATAAGCATCATACGAACTAACAAATCTCACTTCACTAATGGCCATGAATCAATCTGGGATATCTACTATTGGAGGACTCAGAGAGATGAATGCACAGTGGTGACGGAGTAAAACATCATCAAGGTCTATATAATTAATAGAGATGTCTTATTTCATGTCAAAAATGCATTAAGAAAATAAATAATAATAAAAAATCACCATGTTGAATGCCAAGTACAAGATATTACTTCCAATAAGCTATAAATTTTTCAATTAGTCATCAACTCGTACAATTATTTCGGTCTCCACATTAATTACACTAAGAGTGCAAATAAGGAATCTAGCCTAGGGACTCATTAAAAGCCATTAAGAGCATGCTTTCTAAATTCATAATATAAAGTTTATATGATATTATGACCATGGGTTATTACATGAAAACATATTTTTTCACATTGTGGGATAATACTTTCTACCAATTTATTATATACAAAAAAAAATTTGACCCATTATGTCCTATTCTCATAATGGCTCTATGTTTTTAGATATATAATGTGTATTATTAGATGTATTGTTAATTAACCGATAAATATTATCATTATATAGTTTTTATTTTACTATAGGAATACAATGACATACATACACATAAAAAATTATAAATATTAAAACTTCAAATCTCAACCAATGCACTTTTCCAATGTTAGTAAGTAAGCCATCTACCAAACCTCCATGGACATTGGTTAAATTTATGAGAAAATATCTCTTTGTTCTTTATTTTTAACTTCTATAGCTCATGAGATTTAAGAATTGAAAATATTACTTGTAAGCAAAAGGTTTCCATCTTTTCTATCTTAGAACCCTTTGACCTCTTTGACCATAAATTTTTGACCAAAACAAATACTAAAATGATACTCTATTCAAACTCCATCTCTCTCTCTAAAACTTCATTTCTCTCTCTTAACTTCTTTATGAGTTTACCAGTCAAGGGGTTTAGTTTGAGCTCGAACACGAATACACCTTCTTATGTGTGGGAGAGATGAAGTTTTAGAGAGAGAGATAGAGTTTTAAAGAGAGAGATGAAGTTTGAGTTTTAAGAAGAGATGTGGAGTTTTAAAGAGAGAAATGGAGTTTGAGTTTTAGGGAGAGATGAAGTTTTGAGAGATAGAGACGATGATATGAGAGAAAAATAGAGTTTTAGAAAAAAGAGAATCATTTCATAAGTTATTGAGGTCAATAATATATGGTCAAAAGGGTTTAAGGGGTTAAAAGATAAAAAAAATGAAGTTATTTTGCTTAAAGTAATATTTTTAATTATTGAGTCTGATGAGATATAAAAGTTGAAAATAGAAAATAATAAGATATTATCCCTAAATTTATTTATTGAAGTGAGATTTTAATATTTAAAATTAGTTATTTTAGAGCATCAAAACCCAATCCATCATTACTTGTTCAAAGAGTTCAATATAACACGTATTGATCCCGAAAACCTAGATCAAGCTAGCAAATTTGACCAAAACATTGGAATATGTTGTTGATTGATCAAGCTAGTAAAGCTCTTGACAAAGTGGTTCAAAAGGTCTACAAATAATGACGATTTTGATAAAAAGAAATTTACAAAGAACGAAAAAAATAAAATACAAACTACATGTTAGATTACAAAATGGATGAGCAGATGGCAGAGACCTCGGAAGTTTGATTGAGGCTATGAGAAAGCTCTGCGGAGAGAAAGAAAAGATAGAAAGAGAGAGCCAACTCACAAGCTCACTCCCTTTTTAAACTGCTGCAAGCAAGTGTCCAGTACTGAAAATACCGGATAGCAGAGGTGGCTTGCCAAAATAGCTATTCTAAAACTAGCAGATAAATAAGTTATTTGTCTTAATGCAAAAGTAGCCTTTCGTTTAGTGTTATTATTAGCCCGTTAAGAGAGCAACTTAGTAAAAAAAAAAAAAAAATGTGGTCTTTTTTTTTAATTTCTAGAAAAAAATAACAATCAAATGGTAACGAACTAAAAAAAAGGTCATATTGACAAGGATAGGTACAAATGTAAAATAAAAAATGTTGGAGGATTTTTTTTTGTATAATGGTGATTTAAGAGAGACATTAGTGCAAATTTATTTTAAATGAACAAGTTAAAAATTGCAAATAATAACTACATACTTTTAAAAATTACGAATATTACCCCTGCTTCATAAAAGGGGGGAAACCTGTTTACTTCCGAATCTTCACGCACTAGGGTTCTGCTTCTTCCTCCCTCGTCTGTGATTCCTTGTAAACTAGAACATAGGCAAGCCCACGGCAAGGCATTTTTCATTCTGGTACGATGCGTTTCTCTCTCTCTCTCTCTCTCTCTCTCTCTCTCTCTCTTCATTGTACAATTGCAAGTAATGTGTAATGGAGTGTTCTCTTTTCATTTGGGTATCCTAGATAAACTTTAGGGTTACGAGTTATTATTGGTTGCAAATGGGTTGATTTAACCACTACTTTGTAACCAGATAGTGTAAACAAAATAATCAAAGACTTCATTAGATTTGGTTTTGAAAAAATGTCGATTATGGAACATCAGAGCAAATGAAATGCAGGAAAGATACACTTTCAGACTTTTATTTGCTAACTGAATGTAGTGAGAGAGGGAGTCTATGCTGTCTGTGTTAACTGCTTGCAAAACCCTCGCCACTCTCACTCAATGCGCTAACTGCTTTCTCACAAAGCCTACCTCGTCACTCTCTCCCGACCCCTGCGCCCTCCCTCTCAGACCCACAGGCTTGGATCCGTTTGCAGGCCTCATAATAAGTGCCTCATCTTCCTCAAGCAAGGATCCCTTTGCGAGCTTTCATCTTCTTCAACGAAGTAGGGTTGTTCTGTTTTTTTTTTTTGGGCTGGTGTTCTTTTATTTTTTGCTGGTTTTTCTTCATCATAGTGGTAAAGATTCTTCACTAAACAAGGTAGGGTTTCCCTTATACGAACCCTGCCTCATCTTCTTCAACCAGGTTATGGGTTTTATTCTTGTTATTTTTCTGGTTTTTCCCTCTAGATGGTGCTGATTTTTTTAATTACCAATGCAAGCATTTTTTTTTCTATGATTTCCCCATGGAAATTTGTTGCTTTTTTTATTTCTGGCTTTATTTTATTGAGTATAGGAGCACAATTTTCTCTGTAGAAAAAATGTGGGTATCGGTTTCTTTTTGTTGTATATTTTCTGTTTTTTGTTTTTATTTCTTGCTGTTTTTTTGTGTTGTATAGAAGCACCTATATTAGAGATAGAAAGTCCGGTTTTAGTGAGAGAGAGAGAGACAGCGACTCCATTGTTTCTTCAATTTGCAAGTCCGCCATTTTTTTACGCTCCAAGCACAGTTTTCGTCACCATAGCCTTTGGTCCAAACCTTACAGGTCAATTTCATATCCTTTGGTTGTGAAGTTTAGACCTTAAAACTTTCACTGTTGAAATTTTAGTGCAGTTGATCATTTTCAGCAATATCAGTGAGATCCTCATTTTCTACAGAGCAAATTGTGGTAAACTAATTAGTTTACTTTCTTTCTATTTTTGAGGGATTTATGATAATTATAGTCGTGATTTGATTTCTTTTATTTGAGGGATTTCAGGAAATTTATTAATTTTGAAGTTTGAAACTTTGATGAGTTTTGATGCGAAGGCCCCAGCAGAGAGTTTAAAACGCTCTCAATATTTGAAAGTTGAAAATTTGATGAGTTTAAAAAATGCTTTCTTTTTCTGATGAAATTTAATTATTATGTTAAATTTCACTTTAAATATTTTCTCTTGATTGATATCCTGCACTCCAATAGAAAAAGTAATGAATTTGCATTTCAGATTAAGTTCATCTCTTCCCTGTGATTTGTGACTGATTGCTTAGACATTCTGTATGTTATGGGTATCTACTATTAGTGTTGGGAGAAAGTTCCATGCAGCTATCTTTTGGTCGCATTGATTAGGCCTTTGATGACAGCTGTTAGATATATATATTTTGACATTGTAGGTTCCATTTTGAATATGGTTAATAGCCTGCACTAGGAGGAAGTATATCTTTCATCCAGTATGTTTGAGTTCATGCTTGTTGTTCTTGGGGGAGGTGAATCAGGCTATGAATCTGCCTTTGTTTGAAGTCCCAGTGTATTCAACCATTCTTTTGATTGTTTGATTTGTTCTTGAATAGGAAAAATTTGGATTTTTTTTGGGTTTTTGCAAGAAAACTTGTAATGAATCTTGAATCTTTTGATTAGCTATTCAATCTCAATCCGATATTTATCATGTGGGGGTGCTTGTTCATGGTTTTTTCATGTGAAGTAATGCAATCTTTTGATTAGTCTTTCGATCTCAAGCTGATATTTATCATGTGGGGATGCTTGTTCATGGTTTTTTCATGTGAAGTAATGCTTTCTTTGTGGGTTTTAAAAACGTTTTTTATGTGGTTTATCTTTCTAAAAATTGTTGTCGTTTCCCCAAGCAAGAGTTTTTTGTTTTCTTGATTTGAGCGATTCAATGAACTTTGAAGCTGATATTACTAGGGTCATTTTTATTTAGAGATATTTTAATTTGGGGTTAATTGGATGAGTCCTCTAATGTTAGGGATGTTTTATTCTTAAGCTTACTAGTATGACTTTGTGCCATTTATTATACTGATTTTTCGAAACAGTAAAAGACTCACCGTGACAGATTTAAAATTTTTAATCTGTTAAGAGAGATCATGAATCATAGACTCATAGGTTACTCATTTACTTGAATGATATCTAGATTTTTTTTACTGATTTATTTCCCATAAATTTCTCTATTCTTTCTTTTTTGTTTTCCTTATTTTCTATTCTTCCCTTTTTTCCTTATTTTTCCAGAATATTATTAATTTTTAATGTATTGGATTGGTTTGACCGGTGAACCAGTCTGGGTTGGCCGGTCCAACTTGATTGGTGTCCTCTCCAGTTTGGTCACCAGTGTGGTTCTAGCAACATTGAACTACTCATACTTTGATATGCCCATTGATTAAAAAAGCGGTCCATCTGGCTACCTAGGCGGGCTAGGGGGGCCTGGGCGTATCGCCCAGTAGCCTTGGCCGCTCTCCTAGGGACCCTGGGTGCTTGCCTAGGGGATTGTGTCCACCTAGTTGCAAAAATACCCATTGGGTGGGGTATTTTTTGTGTGCGTGTTGTGTGTGTTTTTTTTGGATTATAAAAAATGTATGAATTTACAGTTCTTATACAAAATCTGGACCTAAAACAAGATTACTGGACACCCTTGCCCCCTTTTTAACCTGGGTGGCCGCCTGGTGTTTTTTGTAGCATTGGTTATACCCGAATTTATGATGTATTGGTCCTAGCAATATTGCTAGGATCGGTCACCGGTCCTATAAAGTACTCACACTTTGCTAGGACTGGTCACCAGTCCTGGCCTAGCATCATTGGTATAAAGTATTCATACTTTGTTATGCCTGAATTTATGATATAGGCTGGACTGTAATATAACTTAGTATTATCAGAAATATCATGATTATTTGATATGTAATCTAATTGCATTATCTTGAAGCATTTGTAGTTTACACTGGGCATGCATCGGTCTGAACTTTAGCTTTGTGAAGTTTTATATTTTGACTAGGTTTTCTTGAATGGTGTGCCTTTAGGTTAGGACCAAATTCCCTGAATGGATGCTCATTACGAGAGAGTATACCTTACCACAGCCATGAACCTCATGACCTATCCCACTGGAAGTCCACATTGCTTGCATGCATGAGTTTTGTGACTTGCATGTTGTAGTTGTCTCTCCCACTTTTCACTGGTGGAGCTGCTATATATGAAGTGGAATGCAACCGATGTGATACCACATTCCTCAGTGCGGTCTTTGCGTCCCAAGTCGTTGCTGTTTGGAAACACAGTAACATCAGAAACAGTGATAATATTTGTCCCTTTTCTTTTCATTTAAAATCTGTTTTATAATTCAGATAAAAGAGTAGGAGAGTTCCAGTCCCCCATTTGCATTAGGTGCAGCAATGGCTCCTTCCCTGTTTTTGTCCACTTTCTTTAAAGACAAAGAGCTATACCAAAGGCATTAGGATGATAGAATCTAGCTATAATTTAACCCAACCTATACCAATAAAATGGAATTATTCAAAGTCATTAACAAATTTGTTGTCGAACTAATGGATGGGCTTCAACTTCAGATAGAACTGTAGATTGTTTACTATAAAGATCAAGCCTGAGCCTGAGTGTCTTCTGCTTATAATGAGGGAAAATAGTGCAATTGCGATATGTTACACAGTTCTTTCTTTCCATTTTATACCATGCGATAAGTAAACATACCTAGGAGATCTCATTCTTTGGTTTCTGATAACACAGAATCTAAACCTCTGAATTTGCTGGTGAATAAAGTTGCCAATTTATTTCATTCTTCAGGTTTGTGTTGTGCATTGGGCAAAAATAGTGATCCATTTTGGATGGAGACACCAGCTGAGAATCTTCCTCCCCGAACATTCTCCATAAAACTGTGGCCCCCAAGCCAAAGCACTCGCTTGATGCTTGTTGAGCGCATGACTAAGAACCTCTCCTCTGTCTCCATCTTTTCTAGGAAGTATGGCCTTTTGAGCAAAGAAGAGGCTGAGGAGAATGCCAAACGAATTGAAGAGGTGGCTTTCACTGCAGCAAATGAACACCATGAGAAAGAGCCCGATGGCGATGGGAGCTCAGCTGTGCAGCTTTATGCCAAGGAATCCAGCAAGCTTATGCTTGAGGTCCTCAAAAGGGGCCCAAAATCTCCCAAAAAGGAATCCACTGAGCAGAAGGGACCAGAAACTGATGAAGCCTCTAAAGCCCACAAAACCGTTTTTGATATATCTGATGGTGCCCGATCTTTTATTAACGAAGAGGAGGCTGAGAAGCTATTGGAGCCTCTAAAAGAGGCAGGGAACTCCTATACCAAGATACGCTTTAGCAATAAAAGCTTTGGTCTGGGAGCTGCTGGGGTTGCTGTTCCTATTCTTAAATCCCTTAATGATCAGCTCAGAGAGGTTGACCTCTCTGATTTCATTGCAGGAAGGCCTGAGGATGAAGCCCTGGAGGTCATGTCAATGTTTGCTTCGGCTTTGGAAGGCTGCATCTTGAGATCACTGAACCTCTCGAACAATGCTTTGGGCGAGAAGGGGGTTAGAGCATTTGGGGCCCTCCTAAAATCTCAGAGTGAGCTCGAGGAGCTTTATTTCATGAACAACGGCATCTCTGAAGAAGCGGCGAGGGCCATTTGTGAGCTTCTTCCCTCAGTCGAGAACCTTAAAGTATTACATTTCCATAACAACATGACTGGCGATGAAGGCGCAGTTTCCCTCTCTGAGCTTGTGAGACGATCCCCCTCATTGGAGGATTTCAGGTGCTCCTCTACAAGAGTTGGGTCTGAAGGGGGAGTTGCATTAGCTGAAGCAGTTGGGACTTGCCCAAACCTAAAGAAGCTCGACCTAAGGGACAATATGTTTGGCACCGAGGCTGAAGTAGCCTTAGCCAAAGCTTTATCAGGACTTAATGGGATTAAGGAGGCCTACTTCAGCTACTTAAACTTGGAAGATGAAGGTGCTGTGGCTTTAGCTGAAAGCCTCAAGGACACTGCCCCTATGCTTGAAGTTTTGGAGATGGCTGGAAATGATATAACGGCAAAGGCTGCCCCTGCATTGGCTGCTTGCCTTAAAGTGAAGGAATCACTTTCAAAGTTGAATTTGTCAGAGAACGAGTTGAAGGATAAGGGGACAATTGTGATTTGCAAGATGCTTGAAGAGGGGCATAAAGATCTTAAGGAGCTCGATCTCAGTACAAATGGTATCACAAGAGTTGGGGCTAAGGTTTCGGCCAAGGCTGTGGCTGAGAAGCCAGGTTTTTCGATGCTGAACTTGGATGGGAATTGCATTTCAGATGAAGGTATTGATGAGGTGAAGGAGGTCTTGAAGGAAGGTGTTAATGGGGTATCTGTTCTTGGGCCTTTGGATGAGAATGAGGAAGATGGTGATGGTGATGATAATGATGAGGATGAGGGTTCAGTGGATGGGCAAGGTGATGAGGATGGAGAGGGAGAGGAGCTGCAGTCCAAGCTTCAAGAGCTTAAAGTGGATGAAGATAAAGAGTAGGAGCTCTAATCATTAACACGATGATTAGTAGATGTAGAGAGAATGGCCTATTATCAGGAGCCTCTCTCTCTCTCTCTCCCTCTCTCTCTCTCTCTCTTATATTTACACTGATTGCTGGTGTCTTGCAGCTGGATGCAGTAACCCTGATTCCTTGGCTTTGAGGTATTTTCCAAGGAACCCCCTTATGATATGCGCCTCTATTGCTGTCGTCGTTGTCGTCGTTTTTTTTTGTTTTGGTGGCTTTAGGATAATCTTGAGAGACTTGCATCCTATGTACTACTATTAGAAGGGGTAGGTGGTCGATTGAATAGTTTGCCAAATGAAACTGGGAATCCGGTTTTTGTGCAAGCTTTGAAGAATTTCGGAGCATGACCAGTTGATGATTAGACAAAATCAGCGAGTTGTTTAATGCCTTCTTTCGCACCCCTTGTACTTTTTAAGTGGTGTGGTGTGGTTTGACTAATTGATGATTGCCCTCTGTTACGTCATGGCTCAGTTCACTCTGCATGATCCTTGAATCCTTCTTTTTCATAGACTTATTATTATTATTATTTTTTGAGTCTTCAGCGTGGCTGCAGTCATTGCTATAGAGAGAGAGAGAGAGAGAGAGAGAGAGAGAGAGAGAGAGAGAGAGAGAGAGATGTGTGGCTTCTGTCACCAAAGTGAGATTTGAATATTGTTCTTTAGCTATATATGTACAGGTGTGTGGCGTAAGATTCTATGGGCAGCTTGAGCATCAATTATTTATTTCAGGTTTCAAAAGTGAATGAAAAACAATTTATAGGCATTTTACGGGTACAGGAAAACATAAGGTCTTCAAATCATCCTCAAGGACAAGAAAATAAAAAATTGTATGGGTCTATAAGTACCTTGAAAGGCCTTGAAATTGAAAGGAGATTGCTTCGTGTTTGGACGTATCTTGTTTTAAACATTTAGAATCTATTTATTTAAGGGTGATGTTTGCATAGCGTCGTAACATTAAATAATCGAAGGCGCACTCCCAAAACTTTGTAAGAACATGTGACTTTGGTATCAAAGTTATTAGGATGGCCCAAGAATCTATTTTCATCTCTAACTATAAAATTTCTATTTTCATCTCTAACTATAAAATTTTAAACTCCAAAATAGTTCAAATGGAGCTGATCTATAAACGTATAAAATCATGAAATTGACTCAGATAATGTGTTGTACTATCTTTAGGATTTGAAATTGTTTACGTCTATATCTATATAGGAAAAAGTTTATACAAGGATGCTACCTTATAACGTAGAACTATGGATGCCCCTCAAAAATCTATTGGAAAAGGTAGTTTTAATGTTGAAAAACTTTTTGATTGATCATCTCGACATTGAGATGTATGACTATGAAAAATAGAAAGATTTTAAGTCTCAAAAATAGTGTATTTTACAACATATCATCTATACCGTATATTTTCAAGATTTTTATATGTTTATAGATCTATTTGAATTTAACCATTTTTTAAATTTAAAATTTTATAATTAGATATAAAAATAGATTTTGAGAGAATTCTAACAACATTTTACATCAAAATTATATACCATGATAAAATTTGAATGTGCACCTTACCTCTACAGCTACAGATGCATCTGTATGCAAATTGCACCCATCTATATATCTTGATGTTGAGATGATCTATTAGATAAATTTTTAACGTCAAAATAACCTTTCCAATGGATTTTTGAGATGACTATTAATTCTAAAATTTAGGATGTCAACCTTATCTGAACTTTTGCCTTTATTTAAAGCAAGAAGATTTCATGTTTGGAGTAAAATCCAACCTCGGACTATCCATGGGACCCCAAATTTTGCGATGGAACCTTATCAATTCATATGTCAAACTCAATAAAAAAACTTTCAAATCGCATTCTCCAAGGCCTGGAATAAAATAATGTGCCAAAATTGAATAGAAAATGTCGCAACTTTTGAAGCATGAGATCCAAGTGTCATAAAATTCAAAATTGAATATAGTCATCTAATTTTTTAGTTCTCAAAAGTTTGGACCAAAACATACCATGCTCATGTAGGAGGATAGTATATGCTCATTTAAAGTACTTACCACGGAGATGGAAAAATTTACAAAAATCTAACAAATACTATCTCCTCAGGGCTGGCAATGGGCCGGGCAGCCCTGCCCTATAAACTATGGCCTGAGGGTCGGGCTTGGGGCTAGTGCTAGCACACCCGACCCTCTTTTCTTTTTGTTATATCCCCCTTGGAAGTCGGCAAGGGCAGGCCAGGCCCAAGCCCATTGCCACACTTACCTTAGAGTCAGGGCGAGGGTCCAGTTCTAGCCCGGCCCGGCCCGGCCCTCTTTTCTTTTTGTTATTTCCCCTGGAGTTCGGCAAGCGCAGACCAGGCCCCAGCCCATTGCCACCCTTACCTCATTGCACTGGGGATATTAAAACATAGTTTATCCAAAATATTTCATGCTCTTATAGTAGTAAAATGTCCATTTACTCCCTTGAGTAAGGCCCATTTACGAGTACTTTTACAACCCCAAAATTTGAAGATGTTACCTCTTCAACCCTATTAAAAAAATTTCTAAGCCGCCAATTTGAAGATGTTACCTCTTCAATTCATACATTAACTTTGATAAAAAAAGAATTTTATAAGCCTCCTTCTTTATGTGCTTGGAAAAAAAAATAAAAAATAATACCTCAACATTATATAGAGACCCATCCAGTTTTTCAAAGGTGAGATCAAAGTGTTAGAAATCTTGAAACGGATTATTTCCTTTTAAAATAATCATCCGCTAATTGTTCCTCCCATATAAGTCTTTTCCCGAGGGAGTAAACGTACATTACGCACCGGTAGGAGTATACTATCTGAGGTCAAAACTTGTTAAAACTTAAAATAAATAGACAATTTGATCCCGCGGGAGCATTGGTTGGTGTTTTTTCCATTTCCCTGCAAGGCCGCAACCCCCTCTCCCTCCCTCCCTCTCTCTCTCTCTCTCTCTATCTCCGATTTCTAAGCAGGACAAAGGTTTCTTTGTGGAACATTTCTTCTCACTGGACTGTTTATCGTTAATTAAATTAAACTCTGCTACACCCAAAGAAAGAAGGGCACAGGATCTCGTTGAGATGCAAGGTGGATCCACTGGAGTTGGTTATGGCCTCAAATATCAGGTCTAAACCAAACAAAACCTTTCCTTTTTCTTCATTTTCTTTCACTACTGTTTCCCTTCTTCTCCTTCTTTCTTTTACTGTCATTTCCATGAGTTAACCATTTTGATCTCTCTCTCTGTACACAGGCAAGATGCATTACCGACATCAAAGCCGATCGTGTTCATACCTCCTTCCTTGCGGGCACTCTTAGTCTCAAAGAGGAGAACGAGGTATCATCTCGTCTCAGATTGGAAGCCCTATTCAATTACATATTGGAATTACGTATTTAATGAAATAATTGTTATTGTATTTGCTATTGTGGTTTAGTTACTGTTCTTGAACTTTTGAGCTCGTTTGTGATCAGGTCCATCTGATCCAGCTCTCGCCATCTGGTACAGAGCTAAATTGTGAGGGTTTGTTCTACCATCCTCACGAGATCTGGCATCTCGCTGATTGTCCCTTCAACCCTCGCATTTTCTCGACTGTCTATGCATCAGGTATCTTCTTTTTTTAACACACTTATTTATCTCTCTCCACTAGTTCTCGATATGCTACCATTGTAAATGTCTAATTGGAGTTTCATGGCTATGTAAGAGAAAAGAAGAAATGATGTGAAAATTGTGTAACAGTAATTGTAGGACTACTAAATGAACATGTGATTTTTACTCGAATGCACTGTATATGTAATTTGATGTCGAATTGGAGTCTTCTGAAGCTACAAAGGGAGATCTGTTCCACCATTTTTTTTGGGATAACTGATTAATTTTACCAATGTTATCTTTATTACAAGGTGATTACAATCACTCATGTTCATCAAATTTCTAATTGGGCAGTTTTTTTTTCTACTGGACTCTAAAGCCCTAGGAATTTTTTTTTGAGTTTCAACCCAAGCCATTCAATTTAACATCTAAAGGCTAGGAGTAATTGTACACCCTTGTAATAAAGATAAATGTTCTCATAGTTTACAATCCTTATATATGTAACGAAAACATCCTATCAATCCATCAACTGATGGAATAGGGTAAGCCCAAAGGCACAGATTGAATCTTAGTTGATTTGATGGTCATAATTGTATTTTATATTTGAATTTTTATCTTTTCTCTACAATTCCAAATCACTCAAAATTTGGAGCATCCATTCTTCTCATCAAGGTTCATCTAATAAAAATATTTAAAAAATTATTTGCAAAAAATAAATTGACCAAAAAACCCCAGAAACTTTTAGAGGTATTTCGGTCAATTTATTCTATGTAAATTATTTTTTTAATATTTTTATGGATTCACCTATTTTCCTAGAGTAGATGCTCAAAATCTCAAGTAAATTGGATCCGTAATAAAAAAAAAAAATAAAAAAAAAAAATTCAATTACGAAATGCAATCGTGACCATCCAGGCCAATGGGCATTTACTGTAGCTGTCAGCTAGTGTGAGTATATATATATATATAGGAAAAATATAAAGTGCGCACCTAGTGTAGATAAGCTAAATGCACCAACGGCTCAGATTGAATCTTGACCGATATGACGATCACGGATGCCTGGTAGTGTTTGAATTTTAATTTTTTTTCTACAATTCCAAATCACTCGAAATTTTAAGGTGTGTTCTTCAAAATAGGTGAATCTACAAAAAATACTAAAAAAATATTTTACATGAAAAAAATTGATCAAAATACCCTCGAAACTTTGCGGCTTAGATTGAATCTGGGCCGTTGGCACATTTAGCTTATCTATATTAGGCTGTGTACCATATATTTTTCATATATATATATATATATATATATGGGCAGTGATTTCATGCAACGGTTGTATCATAGTATAATGCAACCACACTTCTAGATAACCATGTTTGTGGTATTTGTATGATCCAAAATTTTGCACACACTCTCTTCATCTCAATAATCAATCCCAAAAAAGAAAACGTTCAATTTGAACCCTGGTCAAAATGAGTCCCCTCCAACAATGAATCTAGACCATTCATTTGGTGAATTTCAATATTTTAGCCTTTACAAACTCAAAATCAGTTTTTTCTTCCTTTAAGATTGTTCATCTAATGATAATAAAACTATCTAACAAAATTAGAAAAGAAAATATCCTTTTAAGGCTTAGATTTAAGCTTCTTATCAAAATGGACGGCTTATATTAATTGGGGCAAAAAAATACTTTCTAGGTTGTGTTTTCAAATTTTCTTTTTGTGATTGTTCATTAGACTGAAAAGAGTATATATTATAATTTTGGATCAAACAAATGACCCTAACATAGTTTTTGAAGGTTGTTGCATCATATTACTATACAATCGTTGCATGAAATCATATATATATATATATATATGGGTGTGGTTTGCACAAGGTTGCAACCTTAAACAATCAAAGTAAGGCGCCCCTCCAAATTTTATCATAATATGTAATTTTGGTGTCAATTATTCTTAAGATGGCCTTAGAATCTTTTTCAATCTCTAATGATAAAATTTTGAATAGAGAAAATAGTTCAAATCAAGTAGATCTATAAACACATGAAAATCTTGAAAATGGACAGTCCAGATTATGCATTACAAGATGCACTATTTTTAGGATTTGAAATCATTTTTTGTTTTTTTTATTTTTTCCCGTACATCTCGATATCAAGATGATCAATTAGAGGGTTTCCTACCATCAAATCTGCCTTTTCCGATGGATTTTCGAGGTGCACCTTAATTCTACATTTTAACATTGCATCCGTATATGAACTTTTTCCTCCGTGTATGTGTATGTGTGCATGCGTGTGTGCATGTGTATATAACATAGTTTGCAGTTGTAACAACGTTCAAATGTCGCCTCAGTTAGGTGTTGTGGGCTCTTTACAAGAGTTTTGGGGATTGAACCACCCCATGGGCAATATTTTTGAATCGCTTTTAGAAATTAAAAAATAGAAAAATAAAAAGACATGCATTTAAAAAGATAAGGTGTGTTTGAGGGGGGTTCAAACACCAACCATGAGGCTCATAAGCTGTAAACACTAGCCAAAAAGGAATTAGATGTTATTTGAATTAAATTGAACATAATATTATATGTATAACATAATGTACAGTGTATGCCCTACTCGACCTCGCGCATAGGCGAGTCCTAGACTCCAAGTAACTCGCAACAAGTCCGATTCGACACAGGCGAGTCATGGAATATTGTTTAAAAGCTTTGCCTAGGGCAGTAAGATGTTTGTGGATGATTTCTACTACCTGACTATCATACTGAATTTTGACTCAGTTTCATCGGTATGGTACTGGTTCCAGTATGATCTGTATGTACCATCCCAGTTTGGGTTACTCTCTTGATTGGTCCCTTTAGCTTTGTGTCTTTGAAGGATCGCATCTAAATGCATTTTGCTTTGGATGCAGTTTCTGGCTATAGTGAATTTTTATTGAGAAGAGGTATGCATATTTCTCTTGGAGTTGGGAGATGAATTACTTAGGGTGCTGGAAAATGGAAACCTAGGTAGCATTAATTGTTTGAATGTTTAAGTGAAAACGTTTCATCACTTGGGAGTCTATGATTAACAAAGGGATGCATATGTTGTTTCAATGTATAACAAAAGCACTAGATTTCTCAAAAGTGGCGTTCTTCAAGTTGCATGAAAGAGTCTAATCTCTACTGAACATGCAAAAAGGGAAGATGTATGTTCAAGCGGTTACATCATCATTCTATTTCTTGTGTTGAGCTGTAAGTTGCTCATGCAGAATGTACAGCCCTTTGGACTCATGCCCTCCTCTAACATGCAGCTCTTGAAACTATGATCCAGTGTTTTCGAACTTGCGGAGTCCTACTTGGACTTGGCAGGGTGTAGAGTCCAAGTGAAGAACCTTGTGAACCAGCGATTCTCACTGGTTCTCAAGGTTTCTTTGTTTTTATGTTTATAAACCTTGGCTGAGTCCATTGGGACTAGGCACCCGCTGACTCGGACTTGGACTTTGTCCAATTCCATGCCTAAGTCTCAGTTTAAAAAAAAGTAAACTTTTGTCCTAGCGGTGAACTTTTTGACGTTTTCGTTCATGTGCTGATCCCTGGCTGATGATACTTGTTGAAGGAACAAAAAGAGCATGTTTTGCCACAATGGATTGAACATTCATACCTTTGCATATTTCACATTGCATTTTTTTATGACAATGATGATAAGTTAATATTAAGCAAGGGAAAATCCTCAAATTGCCAAAATTTTACTACCAACACTTTCAAATCACCATTCAAGTCAAACAGAAACTCAAAAGTCCTTCTTCTTTGAGCCATTTGTGCTAGAAGGTTAATTTTTCAAAACACTTGGGCAACGGTATGGGGATGTTTTGACACGGTTTCTCCTATGTGCTTCCTAATGAACCATAATATTCCTGCAAGTAACTTGGAGCCTTGCCAGTGACTGGCGGTCCTTTTCAATAAGTTAACTTCTTTAGATTACAATTTGTGAACTATACTCCTCTACTTTCACTTGGAGAGTGAATAAGAACTCATGAATGATGTTCGATCATGTAGTTCAAGAGCTAAGATATTAACAAGTGACAAATAGCCTCCCCCTTTACAAACTCGGGGTTGGACTGATCTGGAGCCAAGATATTACCAAGTGACAGATAGCCTTCCCCTTTTCAAACTTAGGGTTGGACTGATGTGGATATCTTGCCATTGACAAATCCTAATCCGTATACTTGTTCTAAGACCATAGTAGTAGCTTTAGAAGTCCTAAAAATAAAAATAAAAGTAAAAAAGAAAAACATAGTAGTAGCTTTAGAACTTTCCAAAAAAAAAAAAAATCAAAGAAAAAGAAAAGCATGGTGGCAACTTTAGGCAATTGTAGGACACGGTTCTTGTAAAGCTTTAGGTATTTTATTGGAACAATTGGGCACCTAGGCGTTTTGGGTGCCTGGCCGCCTAGGCACCCCGGCGCCCACCTAGAGATAGGGTGCCCTCACCAAATTGAACCCCAACACCCACCCCCCCCCCAAACAAAAAAAGCAGGGGAGTTCATCTAACATGATTTTAAGTCTTTGGGAGTTTATAGGGAAATTTTAGAGCCCCAAACTCATGAAATAGATGAAAATGTAATAGTACAATCACATAACATATTTATGGATGCAAGTCTCAAAGAGATTGTAACTTGTAAGACATTAAAATGCTTGAAATCCTAAATGTCATTGTAGGAAACTAGAAGTCTAGACTAGAAACGATACACAATGTCAACAAGGCAAATTAACAAAACAAATATACCAAGCCATCAACCAAACATGTAAATATATCATAAAATAAAAAAAAAGGTATAAGAAAAAACCCATGATTTGCAGCATAATATGTTGTAGCAAAATAAAATTAAACGCCTCTTTCAAATATGATAATATTTTAAAAATATCAAAATCAAATTGATGTCGGTGCAAACTTCGTTTATTGGGTCGCCAAAAATCCTCAAAATCAACAACTACTAGAAGCCTTAATCCACCCACGAACTATTGGCTTTGTTTTGGGAAGAAATCGCAAAAATCAAATATTGTTCTTTCGATAAATCACAAAAGAGTAGTTTTTTGGGAAGTTTTTCTCACCCTAAAAGCCACAGTTTTTGTTTTGGGGGTTTAGAATACCCTCCAAAACCCTTTTCCTCCCTTTTTAGAGGGGAAAAATGACTTTTTTTGACCCCTCACCGAGGGTTTTTTCGCCTTCTGCAAACTGTCACTAGGCGGGCGCCCAGAGACAGGCCGCATAATTCCACCGCCCAGACAGCAACTAGGCGTTGTTTGAAATTTTTCGCCTAGGCGATCGGGTGGCCGAATTTTCAAACACTGGAAGCAATAGGGGGAAAATGCTGTGTTTTTGTGCTGTTTTTGTTGAAAATTCATGGGGAACTTCACGTCAATGACATAATACTTTATCTATTGATTTGAATTAGCTGTAGAAGCCTTAAGATGTGGAAGTCCCAGAAAATTTTATGCCAAGTGAGATGTATAGGATCAAAACCTTATCTCTTGCCCACAGATTATGCAAGAGTTTAAAATTGCCTGGATCTCCACTTGCAACACCTCTTAGTTAATGATTTAAGAAAAAAATTGATTGGTAAATTTTGTTGATAATTACTATGTCTTGTCGACAACTGACTTGTCTTATTCATTGTCCAAATCTCACCTCAAGCAAAAACCTTGCATATAGTTTCTCTCTGTGTGGTGGTCACACTGGGTGAATTGAAAATTTCTGCAATGACTCCTTTTTCTTTTTCATCACTTCTTTACTCTTAAAATGGAAGAGTCAACGGCTGAGAATGAACTTGCTCGGATGCCTTGAAGAAACCCTAAATTAGGTCTGAAGAAGGTTCCGAATGAATAGCTGTAACTTTGTTGCCTTTTGCTATAAAATGTGTGATAGATAAGTGTCTTAAATGGTCATAGATTTTGGTGAAAACCGAAATGCCCATATTAATCAAACATTAACTGAATGACACAAGATACAAAAAGCAACACTATATGAACATTGACTGTATTGTTCTTGACAAACACAAATTACAAATATTGAACAAACAGACTAATATCTGGAAAGCATGCACTGGTTGAAAACTTGAAATATCAAACAAACGAAGTAATAGCTTGACAGCAGCCACTATTTGAAAATGTTCTTAGGTGATTTAGATCACCATAACAATCCAATTGTTATCAGTCCATATTGTAATAATATTATTTCATTGTTTTTGTTCTCCTTTTAAAATTATTAAAATATTGTTTTTCAAAAGTGCACAAAAAGGCATGGGATTGAGGATTTAGGGTTGGGCTTGATTAGTTGAGGTGTTGATGATTGCAGCATTGCATCTCAATTACAAACCCTACTGCAGAACTACAAACAAAGAAATAGAAGAACAAGAAAAAAGAAAAGAGGTGTCAACTTCTTATAGCACCCCAAAGGATTCTATTAGTAATGCTTTCACTGCTTTCACACCTAAGCATGGTGTCCTTGTCATTCCCCATTGACAATGAAATATTTTCTTCATATCTCTAATATATATGCACAACTTCCTTTGGATGAAGTGTTCATTGTTCTCTCTTTCATTTGTTCACTTGTTTTTTATTGAATGGTACAAGTAAACATGTGTTGTGGATAGTGGTTGATTGTCAGCTTTGTATTCTATCTAATATGTAGGAGGAACATATGGTGCGGCTCTCTGGGAGATCCCTGAGTTGTACAACCAATCTAATGCTCCTCAATTGGAACAACTTGTTTCCCTTGACGCACACAATGGAAAAATCAAATGGTGATTGTTCTTTCTTATTTGTGGGAGTTGGTGTTGATTCCTTTCTTATACATTGTAAGATTGTTTCATTAAACTTTTTAACTGTAGTCATCCAGTTGATTGCCACCTTGGCAATTCCTACAGTTTATTTATTATCATTGCTTGATTGCCACCTTGGCAATGCCTACAGTTTATCTATTATCATTGCCATTTTCTGTTTTTCTTGTTTATACTTAAACTCTAGGGACTAAAGGAAGGGGTAAGTTGTTCCTAGTCTGTCAGTTGTTTTCAGTGTAGTTGTTGCACTTGTTGAGATGCTGAATTTTATTGCTGTTCCTCTCTTCTAGATATATCCAGTTGTACTAATAATTTGAAACTGATTTGAAGACTATAACTTAGTGTGCTTTATGATATGATGCATGTGAATATAGTGACATAATTTCTCATGCATTATGTTTCCTCCAACCAAGTGTTTGTTGTCAGATTAATATGGGAATAAAGAATGCTTCAAAATTTTCTGTTATACTACTTGATACTTCCATCTTCTAGTTTGGGCATCCAGTTCTTGATTTCTGAGTTGCATGATCTATTGGTTAGAGCGAGTAATGAGGCATGAATGTGGAATTTAGATACCTAGATACTTGTATTATGGGCGTCATGGAATCTACATGATCTTATACCAACATTGATACTCGGTAATCCTAGGACACTCATAATGATTATTAAAAAGAAAATAAGTCCTTGGATACTTTGTAATTATAATGTGAGAGAAATATAAGAATACACAATTAATAAAATATAGAATTAATAAAATATAGACTTTTGCATGGGTACTTGTGTAGCTGAACATCAATAGGAAATCAAGTCACTTTATCATTGATAATTTTTTTTCCAGTATCTGAGGTTCAACTTGCCTTATGCAGCATTATTTGGTGGCCTTTGGGGATGCATGACAAAGTTATTGGAATTGATGAGGAGAATCTAGTTGTATGGAGCTTAGACACCTCAGCAAAGTCTGCGAAGGTATTACATTTGCAATGGTTTTGAAAAGGTCCTCCTCTTCATGTGTTACTGTTTGTAAGAGGAGCATAGTTACTGGGGACACTTTTCAGTGGCTTATATAATTTTTATCGTGGTCAAGATTTGTTTATATTTAAGTATGGGGCTCAAGGGAGATTGCATTCATTCCCCGTTCATAATATATAGCTTTAGGGGAACTAGGAAGCTTTAGTGAGCTTTTGAAGCCGTAATTTTTTATAACACAATTGTTTATTCTTGTTCTCTTGTATCTCCTATATATTGAAGTTAATACGAAGATTTAAGTGATCAAGGAATCCTCCTACCTTTGCATTCTCTGTCAGTCGCACTAATTGTCCATTTATGTACTTCCTTATCTTTCTTCCTTTTTCTTTTCTTTGTTTGTTTTTGGGGTGGTTAGCTTGTTTTAATACCCGCAACTTCATGATCGAATTCTTTGCTAATGGGTTCAACTCTGCCTCATTTTCTTCGTAAGGACTTGTCTTTCAGGATCTGGATACTTAACGAGCTTTTCCTAATTGAATGCCTTCATAACTATATTCTTTAACATTGGATTGACACATTGTTTTGGAGGAATCGGAATATTTTGGTTTTTCCCTTCTCCTTTACTTTTGCCTCAGCTCCCAAGTTTTTTGATGCATTATCTTTAATTATCGGTGTTCCCCACAACGGCTTCAATGAAATCAACAAAAGCCAAGTAAACTTATTCATTTTAATTGCAATCTGCTGAAAGGAATCTTGGTATTCCTCTTTCATAGATGTTTAGACGTTTTTCTGGCATATGGTGATTTTGTCCAGTTTGTGCCTTATCATTTTTATCTTTATGATTATTGACTTCAATATGAAGGTTTTATTTTATCTGTTATATGACTATATTTTAGAAGACCTTAAGGTTGCCCTCCTAGCAGGCTCATTGCTTTAATGACTAAACTTGCGAACCTATTCATGTAGTATGTTTTCTAGTTACCTAGCTTAATTATCAAGGAAAGAAATAGTAGTCACCTATCTTTGGAGATCCTGGCACTGTTTAGACTGCCTTTACAGCACATGCTTTTTTGAATCCAGGTTCATTCACAGGAATCTGTCGATATGCCACATTATTTTTCTGGGGGTGCCTGGGATCCGCATGACCAAAACTCTCTTGCAACAACATGTGAATCAGCAATTCAGTGCTGGGATTTACGCACGATGAAGTATGATTGTTTATATGGGATCCATCCATATATTAGTTCTCCTCTTCCTTGAAAGTTATGTGGACATTTACCATTGCTACGTTGAGCGCTAGTTCACGTTGGATTTCACATTAATGCATTATTGCCTCTGTTTCCCACAGATTTTTGATTGAGTGATTCCCTCTGCCCTTGATTTGAACTACAGGAAGACAATTTCCATTGAGCATGCCAATGTTCGCAGTGCAGATTATAACCCAAACAAGCAGCACTTAGTTGTGAGTTCAATTCTTATGGAAACATGGCATTTTTTTTGTTATGGAACTTTTTGAAATTTTACATAAGTAATACTCATTTTCCCATTGCATCTCTATGTAAATATTATTAGATGTGTGAGGCGATGTGTGAGGCTTCCGTAAATATTCTTCACAAATAGTTAATGCATGAGGCATTTAGAAGTATTCTTTACAAATAGTATTGTGTGAAAAGAAGTACCATCTCATTGTTTGTTAATGAAGAAACCAACTATCATATTTCATGTTTCTATAGTTAATTAGGTAGTCTCTCTTGGAGAAAGATATGATAAAAACGCAACCATTATGAAAAAGGCCACGACTTTCATATAATGATATGAGAAAAATATTTATAATTCTTGGTGCTTTCACCAAATTTCATTAGATAACGAGTGTAATGTTCAAAAATGCGGATTCAGGCGCTTGGCGTTTTGGATGCCTGGCCGCCTAGGCGGCAGGCGCCCGCCCAGGAACATGGTACCCTCACAAACCTCAAAAAATTGAAACCCCCCCCTCCCTCCTTGATATGAGTTTTAAATGAATATATATGTTACTGTGTTAGATTTACAATAAGACTTTACTCATTAAGATATTATTTAATTAAGAATTTAAGAATTAAGATATATGATATGATATCATTAAGATGTTAGTTTCAAAACAGTATGACTTAATATTACTTTACAATAAGTCTTAAATGAATATAAGATCTTAATTTCATTTTAAGAATTAAGGCTTAACTCATTAAGATATCACATAAATACATAATCAAAGTTTTATCAAATAACAAAAAACAAAAGTAATAAAATATCAAAACATGACATATTGTACAAAAAAGGAATCAGCTATTCATAAAAGCATACAATATATGCTCAATTTCATCTTCCAAATGAGAAAAAAATCAATTAATCACAAAAAAATCAATCTTTTACCTACAAACATATAAATATATTGTGAGAGAAAAAAAAAGTAAAAGAACATACGTATGATTCACAACATAATATATTGTAGCAAAATAAAATCAAAACCCTCTTTTAAATATGATAATACTTTAAAAATATCAAAATCAAATTGATGTCGGTGCAAACCTCCTCTATTGGGTCGCCAAAAGATCTCAAAATCAACTACTAGAAGCTCCAAACCCACCCACAAACTATTGCCTTTGTTTTGGGAAGAAATCGAAAAATAAAAAATTTATCGATCTTTCGATAAATTACAAAAGAGTGATTTTTGGGCCATTTTCTCACCCTAAAGGCCACGGTTTTTGTTTGGGGATTTAGAATACCCCCCAAAACCCTTTTCCCCGTTTTTTAGGGGGGTAAATTACATTTTTTTACCCTTACTGAGCCTTTTCAGCCCGTCCACAAAGTGTCATGGGGCGGTGGCTAGGTGGGTGCCCAGACAGTAGTTCCTAAGCGGCCGCCCAGAGACAGGGTGCATAATGACCCTGCCTAGATAGCTCCTAGGTGTTTTTTTGAAATTTTTCGCGAATTTTTGGACACTGAACGAGTGGAGCAAACATTCTAGATGATTGTTCCCTCCTCGTTGCTCCTAGTTGTTGTATGGAGGAAATGCAAATTTTCTGCTAATTACTTTCAAGAAGCTCTAATTTGTTTCAATCCCTGGGCTGTCAAAAATATTGATATCTTTAAGTTCCTTTGTAGGAGACATAAGTTTGCTTCACAAATCGACTCCAAACTGATTTCTGTAGAGTCAAGACTGTATCCCATGTATGTGGATATTCCCCACCCCACTATGTGGTAATATAGTGTTGTCTCTCATGCTTTCATGAAGGTGGGTGGTTCCTAATTTTATTCTTCCTTCTCTCAAGGGACCGATTAGGATTTAGGGCCTATGATTGTGCTTTGATTATGTGACTGAGGTAAGAGATGTTGGGAGGGGCTCAATTCCAGTTACTTTGTCTGTTTCAGCATTCGCAAAACTGGGCGATCTAACCGCTTACCGTCCGGTTAAATTGGAACCGGCCACTCGACGGTTCCGGTTTTGGGTGGTTTTGGTGATCAACTGGTATTTAAAAAAAATAAAAAAAATAAAGTAAAATAAAATAAAAATAATATATATATATATAAATTCCCAAAAATAAGGAGTTTGATTTGTAATGTATTGTTTAATATTCTTTACATTATGGTAAAGATTAAATTTTTTTTGGTCATTAATACTCGCTTTTATATATTCCCATCTTTTTCAAAAAAAATTAAAAATATCCCTACGCACAAATCGATTCGTTAAAATCCATTTTTTTCATTAATTTTCAACTTCATTTGAATGTTTTTTGTTTTAATCATTCTTTATAAGTTTTTCATATTTTAGTAGATTATTTTTACTATCTTTGTTTTTTTTCAACACTTTTTTGACCGCCCTAGACTTGTCCGGTTAGAGCGGTTGAATTGGTCGGTTTATCGGTTAGGCCTGTTAAATTGCTTCCGGGCCCATGTCCGGTTAACCGTTCCGGTTTGATTTTACGAACACCGGTTTGTTTCATTAATTCTTTTAGTTACTAACTGAGGGTGTATAATACAAAATCAAATTATATTCTTTGTAATTGAAACCCTATTGGAATGAACTATACATACAAGTTAATAATATCAAGGGGCATAAGACAAATGCAAAAAACTTTGAATTCCTTTTAACTTTTCTGACTACGCACTAATAGCACTTCAACTTACACATGTGAATCAAACATAAATTACTTTGTTGGCCTTGACAAAAGGCACACGTCTTTTTGCAATATCTTTTTGATTTGATATCTTTTTATTATACTTTGAAGACTACTATGTGGATTCTTACCATACATTTTACGAGAGAGACCCTACTGATTGAACACTAGACTCATGTGTGTGAATCCAGTGTATAAGAATGTTTTCTGTCGCTTGGGGTATGTTAATTGGAACTTTTGTTTTAGTTCTCATGAGGGAGGGAATTGAACCATGCAACAACTGCTAATGATAATCTCTCTGTATTCGTAGAGATTCTAATGTCATGCTTGTGGCATGTGTGGTAGATGGATGGCATGTATGATATGTATTTCTGATGTGTGATTCTCAACTTCCTGAAGTGATCTATCTGACTCACTCCAAGTTCAACCATAGATTGCCTAGAGAAACCCTAGATGAGGTCAGATCAAGGTTTGTTTATTCGGATCTAGCTTGGCCATTGCTCTACTAAAAGACCGGATTTTTCAATCAAAATTGTATTATTCATTAGACCTTCTGATATCTCTGCATTTAAAGACTTCCAGTAAACTCTCCGGAGACTTTTAATTCTGCATACACAAAGTGATGAGGGCATCATGGTCATCTGCGGGACAATTTACTTTAATTACTTCTAGTTTCTTTTTATCTTTTTCATTTGTTTAAGAGTGAAAGCCAAGGGAACCTCTATATTTTGGTTATGTGGGGGTTATTTATGTCTTTTGGGTGTATAGAGAATTCAGGGGCACTTTGGTTATTTAATTATTTTATTTAGTTGGGGGTATTTTAAGTCATTTTTTCAAAACAATTATGTGTATAAGGCAAGTGAGGGACGTATGGCCCATAGAATGCTACTTTGGAGACTTTTGTGAAGAAAGAATACCTTAGAAAGGACTTCTGGAAATCTTGATTGAAAGCCTCAGAGAAGGCTTAGCACCTCCCAAGGTCCCTCTCTTCCAATGTACTCTTCAATTTTCTCTTATCTTCTGTCCTATCCTAAATCTTTTGATGCAATGAGTTTTTGATTATTTTTGTCTTTTAGGGTTGTAGAGATTTCAAAGGTAGAATTGGAAAGTTTCCTTTATTTTAAGATAGGAAAGATAGATATTGGTGGTTAGAAGAGATATAGGGGAGTTAAAAGGAAAGATAGATATTGGTGGTTAGAAGAGATATAGGGGAGTTAAAAGGAATCTTTTTTATTTATGGGATTTAGTTGATTTAGAGAGATCTTTTAGGGGAGTCACATGAGAATGAGAGAGAGGGGGGATTTACATGAGAGGGTGAAATTAGCAAAGTGAATCAGCAGTTGCAACAGTTGGCAGTCACAATTCTTCGAGAAGAGGGGTCTTGCAACCATTGTTCGCAAAACCGACCGGTCCAAACCGGAACCGGCTGGTTAGATCGGTACCGGCAAGGTACCGATTCCGGTTAAGGCCGGTTTTGCGGTACTACTCAATAGACGCTCATCTCCAAAAAAAATTGGTACAAAAACCGGCTGGTTCGATATTGAACCGGCGATATTTTCTAAAAACCGGCTGGTTTTCAGCTTACTGGACCGGTTCGTTGTTGTAACAGCGTTTTAGGGTAAATAACATTAACTTATAAATAACGGCGTTATTTTAAAATTCATACTGTTATTTGTAGAAGGAAAACTGTGAATCCATATTCCACCATTTTTTATTCGGTTTGCGGCAATATTTTGGTACTTTTTCGTGTTATAATGGTTTAGATCACTATATAATGAATCTAAAACAATAAATTTGGATTTAAACATTGAAAAAAACGAGTTTCTTCAAGAAAGTTGAGGGGTTTGATTGCTATTCGAAGTATTTACTATATTCAACTTTAATTTGATCATAAAGCAAAAAAATAAGGGGTTTATTTTAGCCCGAATGGTTGCTGCTCCAAGAACCTATGTTCTACCCAAAAACGTGGATTTTTTGTCCATTTATTGGTTGTTTTTTTATCAAATTAAGTTGTGTATTTCAATAATTGAGGCTTTATAGTACTATGTTTATTTATTATTGAGTAAATTTTTTTATATCAATTTTTTCGTTGCATCATATAACGAAAATTTCATAGATCTCGAATTTCCGCATTTTCTTCAATGAAATAAAAAATAGCAAATATTTTTTGATGATATTGGGTGCGTTTGAAAGATGATCGAAGCCTTTACCATGCATGTATGTTTATTTTTTCGAATATCCAAACATTGAGGGTCGTTTCTTGCTCGAATTGTTGCTTCATTTTTTGGGTTTTTGAAAAGTCGATTTTCTAAAAAATATATTTTGTTGAAGAAAATTAATGTTTTTTTAATAAAATTGAGAATTGTTTTTTTAGTTTGCTTAATAAATTATTTTTAATATTTTTTAATAAAATTACATTTTTTTGATGTATATGGGAAGTGTTTTTCTATTTTGCTTAATAAAATTATTCCTTTGATAAAACTATTTTATGATGAAATTGATTCTTCCTTTTGATAAGTGCATGATAATGTTGCTCGATTTTTTAGTTATCTTTTTTTTTAAGTTGATATATTTATATTTGTAATTATGGAAATGGGATATTTTGTTTTTTAAAGTGCATGCAGAAATTATGGTTGCCTTATGTTCAATGAAATACTACACCGTCTTGTATGTGCTTTGTTCTTCTCCTTTTTCTTTATTTATTTTTTTGTTTATTCTCTATCAAGTTTTTGGAATGTTATGGAAATAGCCTTTAAAAGATCAACCATGTTTAAAAAAATCAGCCGGCTAACTCGGGATTAGTCACTTACCGATCCTGATCTGGCCCGATTCCAAAGAGAGAGAGAGAGAGAGAGAGAGAGAGAGAGAGAGAGAGAGAGAGTAGTAT